TCTTAGGGACCGAGCTCGCCCGCGCCATGGCCGGAGCCAAGCTCGCCCGGCGGCGTCCCTGTCCCCTCACCCGCGCCACGGCCGGAGCCGAGCCCGACACCGCTGCGGAGCCCGAGCCGACGCACCGCCGAGGAGGAAGAGCCCCGTCACCGGCGAGGAGACCCCTCCCGCTGGTCTTATCTTCCCCAAGACCAGCGACCCCATCTTCTTCCTCTGGGACCTGGGAGTTCGGTGCCGCCGCTGCAACAGGAGCCGGAACCGACGGAGGAGCACGGGCACCTCTACGAGAAGAGGCTGCGACTTAATGTGTATACGCTTTCATGTACACATACATACCTGACAATGGGCCCATGTAGGCAGGAGACGTAGAAAATGGCACAGATGAGGTAGAGAAGAAATTATAATGGCAGTTCTCGAAACAGGTGAATTGTAATGGCGTATCTCCAAACTTCGAAAATTGTAATGGTCTGGTTCAAAAAAACCCTTCACTATTCAGCATGTGTGCTAACTAGTTTGCACGAAATATTCTGAGCCGTTGTCAAATTGGTCCACCATGACTATATTTCTGTTAATAGTTTCTGAAAAACATAGGCTGTTAATCCATAGATATGTGCACCTCTGTTGCTTATTTGCGAGGAAGTCTAAGCTTAAGCATACTTACTCGTGAGTTTATCTTCATGTAGTGTTCAGTTCAGTCCATTTCTATCCGTTCTTCTTCCATTTTGGACTGGAACGCAGTTTAGCTTTGCTGATTTCTCCTACGCAAAGCTGAACCAGCTGAACCGGATAAACAGCTGGCATCTCTGCCACAGATATCAAGTGAACATACTAAGGTTGATCCTTGGGTTTGCAGCTCTAATTCATGTTGCGTTGGAGAAGTATAATAAACCCTTTAAATGTTCCATTATACAGTGCATTGTTTCAATGTTTCCATCTCTAGAATTTTTGACATTTCTCTCGATCTAGGGTGACTGTACGGGGGCGTCCTGAAGAAGAAGCTGTCCTTTGCACACCTTCTGCAACATACTCCATGAAGTTTGTTGGCACATCCAATTCTATGTTTCTGATACCACCTGGGGAGCCGTCTGCTAAATGCTTAAGACCAGACAGCACAAATGGCGATGCTAATGCGGTGGCTGCTACCATCAAATTAGCACCAGGGAGCATTGAATTGGTCAGAACTGCTCCGCGACTAGATAAATTGAGGAGCCTTCTCCGCGAGAGGCCCTACATACTTGATGAGGATCTTGGCAATGACTTCCAACATATGAAGGGGCTATACACTTGGCAAGACCTCTGCAAACTTATCCAGGCCAGTGATGGAGAGCTTTTAGATGGGTTGAATACCCTCTCGGCTGTTGAGATTGATGGATTCTGGAGGACAGTTGATGCCAATTCTGTGAACACGATTCTTGACATGATCCTGCACAACTCTGTGTTGCACGATTGGCCATTAAATGCAATGCCAGAAAATGATGTGCTCTCTGTCATGGAATCTGATGGTTTTACCCATAAGATTGTAACCCACTGCCTCAACAGATTTGGCACAAAGGTAGAGCAGGAAGCCAGGAGTTTTTGGAGCCTTGATGAGAAGCGTGTATGCTTACAGTTTGCTCAGAGAGTGCTTGGTGCAGGAAAGATGAAGCTCGCTAACTTTATGGACAAATGGGAGAGAAGCATTCCTTCAGGAATGCGTGCGGATCTTCAGATGCTGGATGGGGAAGTGTTGTGTGAAAAGCTTGGAGCTGAGACCTGGGTGCATGCTTTTAGTGTTGCCGATTTGCCACTGACGCCTGCTGACAGGTTTGCAGCACTTTTCCATGAGCGGCCTAAGTGGGAATGGAAAGATCTGCAGCCCTATATCAGGTGTGATTTGCATTAATTTTCTTTGGTTGAGTTCTTTTCTTTTTGTGTGTGTGTGTGTGTGAATTCGGCATGTGACTATATACCTTTCCCTTATGTCCAGGGATTTGCGCTTACCAGGTGTCTCATCAGAAGGATTGCTTATAAAGTATACCAGAAGAACCCAACCAAGCGCTGAAGCTGAACCTATTTTTACTGCAAGATAATCGATCTAGCCATCTGCAGCCATGCTTTGATTCAAACAAGGCCTTGTTGGTGCTACTTAATTTGAAATATCACACTGGCAGTGTAGTGCAAGGCATTCTGGCTATTGCCAACGGAACCCAAATTATCGTTGCATACAGATCGGATCATCCTAGTTGTAGACCTTTAGTATGAGTGATTTTCCTCACCTGAACTAGATACTATCGGTGATGGAATATCTGAAGAACCTGTCATCTGCAAAACTTTGCGCCTTTGCTGTAACCTTTGATAAACGTAGCTATCCAAAAGCTCAAATGCATACGAGTACAATTGTGGATGCTTGAAATTGAAACGACTTCAGATATCTTTTTTCGCCCTCTTAATATGAAACTACAGGAGATTCAGGATGTGTGTTGTATTTTTAGTAAGAGGCAACTAAGGGGGGGCCCTATCTGGATACGCACTAGGGGTGAAAAATTACTTATATGCCATCAAAAACTATACCTATCCCTTATATTGCATCAAAAATTACATCCTTCCCTTCACTGCTGACTGATGTCAATTTGCCATTACATTGCTGTTAAGTGAAAGTGGAAAAAGAAAGTTACATATGGAAGCATTTTTTTCTAGTCCTTCAATCCTTCCATGTCATTGCCCTCAAGAACAATTATGGATATATTGGTGTTCCTCATTTTTATTTGCACAACATTCAATAATAGTAACAATATAAAATTCATAGCAATGACATATATGGGATGAAAAAGCGTAACTAAATGGCATTTGAGGGAAGCTATAATTTCTAATGATATATGAAGAGTGCAAAGGTTCAAGTGAATGGCAATAAAGGGAAGTTGTAATTTCCAATAGCATACAAGGGATGTGTATAGTTTTGAATGGTATAGAAGATTTATATAACTAGATACCTTGCCCAGCCCACCTAAAACCCACAGCCTATAACACCGACGTCGTCCACCACATGTAGATACCTCACCCGCCCCACCTACAACCCAAGGCCTATGGCTATGATGTCGTCCACCACATGGTCCACTCTAACTGGTGCACCAGAATAGAAGGTTTGTCCCGTTCTTACTTCCTATCATGTTTATTGGTTCGTTCAAATTTTTGGCTAATCTTATTTCCCTAGAGCCGTCCTTGCAAACATTAGTTCTATCGCGTTAAGCATAAAACAAGAGCCTCCCATTTTTAATTTCCTGTTTTGACATACACGACAATTGAGTAACACAATTTTTTTTAAAAAAAATGAAGCAACTTCAAGTGAAATTTTATGTGCCCAACCTTAAGTGTCTTTCCACATCCAAATCACAAAGCATCTCGATAGAAAAACAAAAGCATACTTTCCTGACTTATTGGTATCACACTTTGCGGCTCTATCTACGGAGGGGACAATTGTTATTTAAAACAAATAAGCCAAGTTGACTAGAGGATAAAAGGGGGAAAGTTTCAGTCAAGGAGGCAAATAGGCCACTCCCATTGACCTTAAAGCGAGACCTGCCTCTATTGTCGTGCCCCGCCCTGCCCCCTTCCTCGAACCCTACCCCCAGTCTCTACCTCGACAATGTCTCCTCCAACGCCGACGAGGGCCACCCTACTCCGGTACTCCCTCCCTCGCCCTTTTTCCCTCTCCTCCTCCCGTGATTGGATCTATGTTTTCATGGCTTCACCGCCGCCCCTCTTGATCTGGTGGTGCCATCGCTTCTACATCTGTCGTCACCACTAACCACTCTGGATCTGACACCCCCGCTACTAACCCTTCCTAATCGTCCTCCACCACCCCCAATGGGCCTCGTCACCGCCCTTCCACCTACACACTTCCGGCATTATCGAGACAAGTGCCAACCACGGACATCCCCGTTTAAATCTTGCAACCACGGATTCTCCTCTAACCCTATAGAAAAAAAACCCTAACCCTAGTGCGGATTGATGGTTAGTGGAGTCGAAGGAGGTTGCTAGAGGTGGTACTCCGTGGAGAAGGATGCATGATATCATCGGAGACGAGGTGCTCGCTGGTCTGAGTTCTATTTCCTCGCCCCCTTTGTTTTTGGTTGTTTTTGCTCCAACATAGACTCGCCATCTAAATCAAGAGGGCTCTCTATATAGGCTAAATCGAGAGCCTTTTACGCATTTTTTGTGGTTGTTTGGATCACACAAATTGCAAAATATATTTCCTAGACCAAGTTTTGTGAGGATTTTTAGGGAAATGGGATTTAGATTGTTAGTTTGTTAGATATGTGGTTATAGGTCATGTTGGCATGTTGGCAACAATGAGTCTTTGTGAGTCAAAAGTGAATCTAATGAATCGAGCTATCATTAGAACAGACTAGCAGATAATCTTACCAGTAGTCGATCCTCTAATTACAGGACAAAAAAAGGGAGAGGCATAAGCAAAGAAAATAGGAAAAATATAGGTCGTAGTTGTTTTCTGGTATTTCTTATAGTTTTAAAGGAAAATCAACTTATGGTATTCCATTTTTTATCATCATCTAATCAACACAAGAATTTAGGCACTAAATTTTTGTTTAACTCATCTTTTTGACATAGTTCCATACTTCCAAATATAAAGAAAAAAACCATCTAAATGATCTTACTGTATCTCTATCTTTAGATTCAATATTTATTTGAATACCAAATTTAAGAAATCCATAAATTTCTAAGTGCTGCCAAAATATATAGAGGCTATTGCGTTCTTGCCCCTACTTTGACGTCCAGTTGTGATTTTACTCCTGCTTTTGTCATCGTTGTGATTATACCCCTGTTTTTTGAAAACGAAACTTAAGTTTACCCATATTCCGTGAACAGCAGGTAATGGTGTCAAATGGGCTCAGTAAGGACAAGTTTGCCCCTGCGAAATTGCCCTTGCTTATCTGAATACATTGTGATTTTACCCCTGTTTTACCGGCAGCAGACTCGCGCGCCAATCGTGGCGGCGAGGCGTGTCACGCCCGGCCGCGCTGCCTCAGGAACTGCTCCATGGTCTCAAGGAGCTTGTCATCGACGTGCCTGACGTCGAGGATGTCGGACGAGCGCGCGAAGCCGGTGTCGTCGCACCAGGCGTAGAAGGCTCGGAGCGCATCGATCTGCTTGGCGGTGCCGACGTAGGTCTCAAAGGCCTTGGCGCACTCGGGGTAATCCATGTCGAAGAAGCAGTAGAGGAGGAGCGCGAGGAGGAGCACGACGTCCTCGTAGACTCTGAAGTTGTCCCTGAGCAGCGGGTGGAGCACGACACGCATGACGCGGCTGGCCCCCGCGGAGCCCTGTAAGGTCCTAATGGCTAGAGGGGGTGAATAGCCTATTAAAAATTTCTACAACAACACTTAACAACCCGGTTAGACAATTATGAGGCGAAGCAAATGTTGCGCTAGCCTACTAAAATTACAAGCCACCTACCACAATTCTAGTTTATATAGTTTCTATTCACACAAAAGCTATGTCACTACACTAAGTTAGTGTGCTCTCAAATGCTAACTAAAGAGCCACACTAACCAAACTAACAAGCTCTCATAACTAGCTACACTAAAGAGCTTGACAACTAGTTTGCGGTAATGTAAAGAGAGTGAGCAAGATGGTTATACCGCCGTGTCGAGGAATGAACCAATCAATCACAAGGATGAATACCAATTAAGACCAATCACCTCGGAATTAAATGATGACATAATGATTTTTTACCGAGGTTCACTTGCTTGCTAGCAAGTTAGTCCTCGTTGTGGCGATTCACCCACTTGGAGGTTCACGCGCTAATTGGCATCACACGCCAAACCCTCAATAGGGTGCCGCACAACCAACACAAGATGAGGATCACACAAGCCACGAGCAATCCACTAGAGTACCTTTTGGCTCTCTGCCGGGAAAAGGTCAAGAACCCCTCACAATCATCACGATCGGAGCCGGAGACAATCACCAACCTCGCTCGACGATCCTCGCTGCCAAGCCGTCTAGGTGGCGGCAACCACCACCAAGTAGTAAAGCGAATCCCGCAGCGAAACACGAACACCAAGTGTCTCTAGATACAAACACTCAAGCAATGCACTTGGATTCACTCCCAATATCACAAAGATGATGAATCTATGATGGAGATGAGTGGGAGGGCTTTGGCTAAGCTCACAAGATTGCTATGTCAATACAAATAGCCAAGAGTGTGAGCTTGAGCCGACCATGGGGCTTAAATATAAGCCCCCACGAAATAGAGCCGTTGTACCCCTTCACTAGACACAACACGGGTTGACCGGCCACTCCGGTCAGATCGACCGGATGTAGGACCCCAGCGTCCGGTTGTGCGATGCACGCCATGTGTCCCCTCTCTTCAAATACTGAGCGCCCGATCTCAATGGTCAAGTGATGACCAGACGCGCTGCTACGAAGTGACCGGACGTAGGACCTTAGCATCTGGTCATGCTCGACCGGACTCACCCAGCGTCCGGTCATGCTCGACCGGACTCACCCAGCGTCCGGTCAATCGGCGTCTCCTCTGTGTGCTGCTATGTCAGCAGGACCAGACGCAATCATCCAGCGTCTGGTCACTAAGTGACCCAGCCTCCGGTCAGAGACTAACGCCAGCGTCTTCGCTGCTTCTACTGACCGGACACGCCGGTCCTACAGAGACCAGCGTCCGGTCACTTACAGTGACCTCCGTCTTTTCTGTATTGGGCGCCGGTGAAGTTTCTCAACCTTACTCAAATGTGTCAACCACCAAGTGTATCACCTTGTGCACATGTGTGTTATCATATTTTCATAAACATTTTCAAGGGTGTTAGCACTCTACTAGATTCTAAATGCATATGCAATGAGTTAGAGCATCTAGTGGCACTTTGATAACCGCATTTTGATACGAGTTTCACTCCTCTTAATAGTACAGCTATCGAACCTAAATATGATTGTCGACAGAATATCGTCGGCAGTCCTCCGAGGAGTATCCCACGAAGGTAGATTGATCGGTAGAGGAGCATGAGATCAAGAACAAGAAGGCAACAGAGACACACGAGTTAGACAGGTTCAGGCTGTCAGTATGACGTAACACCCTACTCCTGTGGTCTGTTGGTTTGTATTAGCTATCGTATGATATGCCGTGATTTTGGAGGGGGTCCCTGCCCGCCTTATATAGTCTAGGGGGCAGGGTTACAAGTCGGTTAGATCTAAGAGATAACCGGAAAGTAATAATAGATTACAAGAATCATGGGATTGTACGTATCCTAATAGATCTCGTAGTATCTTCAGGATATCTTCCTTATGTCTTGCGGGAGGCGCCGAGCTGAACCGTGCCCCGTAAGGCTTCATCTTGTGGGCCGAGCCACCCCTGGGGGCACAACCTATGTGGTCTGCTGTGGGTATCTAGGGTTGTATCCCCCACAGCTAGTCCTCGAGCGCCTTGTACCCGTTGTGCAACGCCGTCTTGAGCTTGTTCGAGCAGGTGCAAACCAAAGCTGAGCAGTCCAACTCATTGTCCGACCACCGTGATGAGTCGCCGAGTAGTTGTGAGCAGTTGCCGAGCAGCGTGCACCATCGCCGAGCAACATATCCCAAGCATGGATCTTCGCAGTGGTCCAAGTGTGCCCACTTAGAGTCCTACCACGAGGAAAGGAGATAACCTTCTTTAGCTTCAAGAGGCACGGAGTCTTCCAGAAAAAACAAGCATATTCATCGCGAGGTGAAGTGTGCCCACTTAGTCCCCGAGCCTAACAGCAGATGACATAGTCATTTGGTGCCAGGTCCAAAGCAGAAAACCAGTCGAGCAGGCAGCCAGTCCTCGGGCATAGCCCCAAAATAAATTAAAGCACATTCATCGCACGGTGAAGTGTGCCCACTTAGTCCCCGAGCCTGACAGTAGATGACGAAGTCATTTGGTGCTAGGGTCAAAAACAGAGAAGTAACGAAAAACCAGCCAAACAGGTTGCTCGTTCCCTAACTACAAGCGAAGATACCGGAGAAATCATACCGTGAAGGAAAAACCGGAGTAGCGCTATACAGTAACAGTTACTGAGCCTTAATAAATGGCGGAGAAATCGGTGATTATTCGGCGAGTAGCAATTGACGACAGCGATAAATGAGCGACATGGGTTGCGGTTGCGCAAAGGCCTATGTAACGGCCCATATACCGCGTCGGAGAATTCGGAGCGGCGCAGATCGCGGGAACGGTTTCCCAAAAACCCTTGAATGCAGGAAGGTGGGAAAATGCTTTATAACTGTGCCGCCGCATACCCAGTTCCCACCTTTGCCACTTCATCTTCCTCCTCATACCTCGCATCCTTGAAACCGCAACCCCATTCGCCTCCGCCGCCAAACCCTAACCAGATCTGGGAGATGGCGCTGAAGAGAGGAGCTACGAAACCGAAGAAGGCGAGCGCCGTAGCCCGGCGCGATGAGGAGTGGGTGCCGTCGTGAACAGGAGAGGCGGAGCTGAACAGATTGGTGGAAGCCGGCGTTCTTCCTGACCGTGCCATCGCCGGATGGCGGCCGGCCCTTGGTGAGTCCTTCCCGACACATCATACTGACGAGGTAGTGGTATTCGAGGATTATTTCTGGCGCGGGTTGGGATTTCCTGTTCATCCATTTTTGAGGGATCTGTTGGAGCTCTGGGTGGTTAGTCTGTGCAACCTCCACTCCAATACCATTTTGCACATCTTCATCCATTTCTGTGTGGCATACCTCGGAATCCTCCCCCACTTCAATCTCTTCCGTCACCTATCCTGGTTAAAGAAAAGAGGCGGCGCTGGTTCCAAGGTGGTCGGCGGTGTATACCTTCAACTACGCGACGGGTGGCTAGCGAGTATCTTACTGTGCCGCTGAACACATCGGTGAAAGGGTGGAATGCCAGGTGGTTCTACATGAAATAGAGCCACCCGGCAGTCCGTTGTGACGCCGACCACATCCTAGAAAGCCAAAAGAGTTGGTCGGAGCTGTTGAGCAACGACGACATGGAGCAAGTAAAGGAACTCCTCGGCTTAATAAAAGGCCTGAGGACCAATGGAGGGTTAGTAGCGGCGAGTTTCATAGTGCGTCGTGTTCAGCCCTGTAAGGAGAGGGCGCACCCAGGCTTCGAGTTTAAAGGGGAGACCGACGGCACCCAAGAGAGGCCAGAGATACTGTCCAGGAATGATGTTGAAGAGCGGACTGCCGAGCTATTCGCTCCACTTTCCTCATTTAGATTGTCAGGGTACACAAAGCCCTTTAACTACAAGAATCTGCCTCCTCAGGTGACTATCCCCACTGTGTATTTTCCGAGCAGCTTTTTCTTTTGTCATTGCCGGGCAGTAGACTGATTCACTCATGTGAAGATCCATTCGCAGGACAGAGCCGTGTATTTCTCGGGCGTGCCGAGAGGTGATTGGCCACCGGCGGTGGATGCACGATCACCGGCTCAGCCTGAAGGAAGTTCCGTCGGTGTTTCTTCAGAATCCGGAAGTATGGATGTTGGTCGGACGAAGAGTCCTCCCCTGGTATCGAAGAAAATCCAGGGGAAGAGGCTGGCGAAAGACGAGTCAGCCCAGAAGAAGAGGAAAACAGGGGCTGTTGCTCCCCTTAAACTAGGCGACATATCGCTTGGCGATGATCAGACCAATCGACCATGAAGGACCACGGTGTTCGATTGGTCTGACGACGACGAAGTTCTGACGGCTCCTCCACCGAGCACGACGGAGCCCCCGCGAAGCATGCGCGCGGGGGATCAATCAAGGGGAGGTGAAGAAGGCCGTGAACCACCGACGAGTGGAGTCCCCAAGCAGCGGGTGGAGGAAATTCCTACGCAGCAGATGACTGAAGTCCCTTTAGGGCGAACAACAGCAGTCCTCGAGCAACCAATGGAGGTGGACCTGGGGCCACAAGCAGAACAGAGGCCGGCCGAGGAGGAGCCAAGAGTTCCCCCACAGAGCATGAGAGTCGACCCCATGGCTGCACCTGGAGGCTCAGGCAGGCATCGGCGGTTTAAGAAATTGAACTGTCAAACCAAACCATGAGTGTCTTTGTGTTGAAGGTACATTACTGTAATTTATTTGCTTCTGTGATCACTGACGAACTAGTTTGACGCAGTGCCAGGCAAATGACAGATCCAACCCCGCCCTCCTAGACTAAGCAGCAGCCAGGAGCTGGCCCTGGGGCAGGGGAGATGCCAATGGACCCAAACCTGGAGTCCCCGAGTGCTCGGCAACACGCGGGAGAACAAAACGCTGCCCCTGGCGGACTTGGCGGCAGCAAACGGTTGACGGCGAACGAGTCGGCGGCAGCACCTTGTAAGGGTCGA